TAAAATAAAAAAAAATAAAAACGTATTAAAAATATTAGTAAAAACTATGATACTCTTTGGGAATGTAATAAGGGAATTATCACTATTATTATTCCAAATACTAATTGGTTTGACCTTTTTAACTTTATTTACACTTCTCAGCTGTCAAATGTCATTATATAAAAACATTATTAGTATTATTATTATATTTTAAATGAGCTCAAATTCATTTTAATATTGTTATTGCTATTATTAATAAATCAGTATGCATTCATTTATGAATAATAATAATAATACAATGGGTATATTTTTTTGTTGTTGTAGTCTAAATGATAATTTAGTTCTTGTCAAATAGCAAAAATAATACAACAATAAAAATAAATATTGGTTATTAGAAACCATTAGCTTTGCTGAGTTGGGATGCTCTCTTTTAGGTTAGGTTGAATATATTTAATTAAAATATATAATTTGTTCCAATAAACAAACACCTAGCAGCATAAAAATAATTCAGAATACCTTAGCAACCACATAGCATCACCCTGGAAACAATCTTCACTAGTTGTGGCAGTTTACTCAGAAAATGTACAACTCACTGTAACCAATTTTTTTGTTGTTGTTGTTGTTGTGTCGTAGGGTGAACCAGCAGAGTGCAACTGTTTGAATGATATGTTCCCTGGAACCGGTGGACCTGTGAGCTAATGCTTTATTTTATTGTTGTTAATCAGGAAGACATTAACACACTCTCACACATACACACTCTAATAATGTGGGCTATTAAACAAAACCTTTTAAATCACTCACGTCTCATCATGAGACCTGATGTCATTCACAGTGCTGAAGTCAATTACTCTTTTCTTGCAGGGGGTCCCAGGTGGTGAGAGCAGGTGGCAGCCTGGTCCTCAGGTCTGACATCCTTTTTCACTCTGTATCGCTCCTCTGCTGCTTAAATCTCTGCATTTTGAGAAGTTTGTAAAAAAAAAAATCCTAGCAATTACAGTAGAATTACAACATTCATTCATTCATTCATGAATGAATAGCGATTACGATAGGCTTTCAGTGCTACACTCTACTAATGGACTTATGGAGACACAAAAAGGAATCTGAGAGTGATTGTGACTCTTTTAATGAGTAATAAATGACCATCCTTTTACTTCTACTTATTCCAATGTGCTTAATGTGTCTTAGGGGCCTCCTGGACCACCAGGCCTTCCAGGTCCCCCAGGGTCCCAAGGCTTTACAGGAATCACAGGCCCACAGGTGAGTATAAAACAAATGGCATCAGGGTGTACCTCTGCTTTTTCTGTCTGTTCCTTCATCCTGCTCTCTTTGTGGGGCTTCTGTATCGGTAAGGCCTGCATGGGTAACTCTGGGCTTCCACTAAAGCATATTTAAATGCACCAGTAATGTTTTCTGTAAAAGTTTACACATAAAAGCAATTTGTTAATTTAGCAAATAATTATTACTACTGCCATGAATTAAATGTAATGTAATGTAATGTAAATGTAATGTCATGCAATTATAATGTAGTTTGTAAAAGAGCGCTGTATTAAAACATTGCTTTTTAAATTGCACGCTTTAAAGGGGCTTCTGGGAATTTTGAATAGTGCCATGGGATGTGCTTTTTTAATGGCTGTGCTTTTAAAAGTTAATGTTAAAGTAAATGTAAATATTAATGTAGATTGTAATCTAAATCATTAATGTATGGATCAAATATTGCGGGCAAAAATGAATTAAATGTAATCTAATTAATACATTACTTAAATAAGTGGTTGGGGGTCATGCTGCTTTTTCTTTTTAAAAACCATGCAGAAGCTCACTGTGAGGTTGCTGTATTTACTTTAAGTCCATTTTCATCTTTATCAGTTATGTCTTAAATATACAATGGGAATTATAATGGTATGTAAGCCCATCATCATTTAAATCACCCTGATAAACTGGCAAATTTACTTCTGTATGACCTCACCGTGAGCACTGAGTGGTCTTTAACCTGGTGTTGTGTTGATTTCCCAAGTCTCAGAAGAACTGAAATTAAAAAATAGACAGAGAAAGGCAAGAAAAAATGTAAATGTCTACT